CGCAACCCTCGGTGTTGCCCCCGTGCCTCGCTCAGCCAGTGAGCGGGAACCGGTCTGTATGTGGGATCCGAACCCTCGGCGGGAGCGCTGCCGCACTTCCCAAGCAGCGCATTAGCGCAGTGCGCCACCGGGCCAGCCCCGTAAACTATTTTCTGAGGACTAACTTTGTACTTGGCATTTGACTGCCCTCAAGTAGATTATACTTAGCAAGTGGAGACAGACAAGCTTGCAAATATTTACAAAGCAAAATATGATTAGAGCTATGATGGAAGTCTGTTTAGCGTGCTATAAGAACATCTTAGCTGAGGGGAGGGGAGGGGTGCAAGGTAGAGTTGATCTCTGATTTTATTCTTGAAGGATTATATTTTCTTTGGTTGTTCAGAAATAGATTCAAGTGTATACTATTCAAAGTTAAAATGTCAGTAATTTCAAGTCAAGTCCTCTGGCTAATGACTCCTTTCTTTTTTTAAACTGTAGTACAAAAGATAAATGGAAAAACATTATCTGCAGGAGGGAATTTAACAGCTTTCATGAGCATATCAATTAATGCAGTATGACCAAAGGACAGTTCCTAGGTCATCTTCCATGTAACTTCGGGGCTTTAAGAATCTTCTGAAGCTGCTAAATTCTACTGCCTTTCCAAAACCTCTCTTATCCCCCCTAACGAGAATTTCTCCTTCCTGAGAACCCCCAGATCACAGTGGATAAGAGTATAATCTTCATCCAGTGCCCTTGGTATCAAATCCAGCTCTAGCTCTTACTACTAGCCATGTTACCTTTAAAAAGGTGTTTTCCTTAAGTCTCATCTATAAAGGGAGATTACTGAAAATCAGCAAAATCAGTAGTGCATATGATTATAGCAATTTGTTTATACCCACTTATTTTACCAAATACTGCCTTATTTTGTTAAACTATCTTGGAATCTTTAATATACTATGAGAGTGATGAATGAAAAGAACAAAGACCTGGAATTCTTTGTATCTCATGGCACCAAAACAGCACCTGTAAAATATTTATCAGTTCAATTGGTTTCTTGGACTACATCTACTTGGCTTATATGGATATGTGTTATGTGGTAGGGAAATATTCCCAAAGCAGGGAGAAGGTGGAGATTTGGGATGGTGCAGGGCCTAGTTAGGAAAAATTCTCTTCTTACAGTTTCCTTTCAGCACCTATAATTGTGTCTTGGTTTGACCCTAGAGTATATAACCTCTCACATATGCTAAGTTTCCTTTTGGGAGAGCAGGTTTTATGCTCAAAGCCATTACCAAGCAGTGGTATCCAGCTAGAATTTAGAAACATATTTAATTTTATGATTTCCTTCTATTTCTGGCAAGTTATACTAGTTTCTATTTATTTAAAATTTCATTTTTTAAGTAAATGCAGGGAGACAGTAAATATTGAATGTGAGTTACTTAAGTTTAGGAAATATTGTTACATAAACATAGGGTTTTAGAAGAAACAGTAACAACAGATAACGTAGTTCAAATTCCTATTTCATAAATGGTTACCACAAGGCTAAATAACATGCCCTAGTTGCAAAACTGATACTGGCAGAGTTGAGACTAACATAAGCCTCTTCATATGACTAGCTCAAGGATCTCTGTCCATCGCCCAATACCCCTTCGATAAAGGAAATCGGTTCTAAGTTAATATTTGATGACTGACTGTCTTCTCTAGGCCAATGACTTCTTTCATCCTGAATAATGCCAATGTTCATGGATATTAATGCAAATTAATAAAACTGAAATCACAAGGTGGCATGGAACCAGGCAGGAGCCAAGAACTATAATTAGAAGAGACAAGGGAAGATCACAAAAACAAACTTTAAAATGTTGTGCAATTTATTAGTGTATAAATCAAGTCTCCATACATATGATGAAATTCTGTGAGATTCTATGGGATTCAGAAGGTCAAATCCTCAGATGTGCAAGTGGACCAGATATTTTTCCAAAAGTCACATATCTGTTCTAGGAGATGAAAGGAGCTTCTAGCCAACACACACCTATAGTTTCATGTACATAGGGAAGGAAAATACTCTATCAATGCAGTCAAAATTCATCCTTTAGTGTAAAGTAATGCTGGAATTCGTGAACAATAAGATGTCTTCAGATACATGAGAAACTAAGGAGAGGAGTTTCCTTAGAGGGTGGGCATTAGGGAGACGGGAAGCAAGGATGGCAAGGACAATTTACTGTATGGCTTTGTACACATATTGGATTTTTAACCTACTGAGTGCAGTACGTATTTAAGAAATACATCCTCCGCCCCCATTGGCTTGTCCATTTGGCATTCAGTGTCTAAGAGTTTGTACACATATTGGATTTTTAACCTACTGAGTGCAGTACGTATTTAAGAAATACATCCTCCACCCCTATTGGCTTGTCCATTTGGCATTCAGTGTCTAAGAGACTCTGGACCATTAAAGTTACTTTACAAGAATATTTAAATAAATCTAGAGATAATTTTTTTGTTAAATTAAGTTTTTGCAGTCATTTTACAGAATACAATTACACATATTTTAGTTAACAGATGTCCTTTACAAAACTTGCCATTATTTTAAAACTGAGATAATTTTAGAAGCGTAATAAAAAAAACATCCAATTTGAACTTCTCAAAAACCATATAATGAGATTTAAATTTTGAAAAGCATAAGGCAGTTTCTGAAAATTAATTCAGTTCCACTGTGTGTTTCGCCTAGTTACAAACAGCTTCAATTTTGCTCGCAAGCATTGAGTGTACATTTCAAATATGAAAGCTAGAATCACAGGCAGACTGCAACATACAAAAGAATAGAAAAACATGCTAGGCATGGACTTTTGGTTTCTAGATGTAGAAACCAAAAGTTACTATGGTAACCACTTTACTTTTACTCTTCACTAAAAAACACAACAAAAAAACAATGACCATTTCTAAGTTTAACCTGATTTATAGATACCTACCTTGTAAGTCCAGTACTACCACAGCAGTATCATCTTCTAACCCCTCAATCACCTCGCACTTGTATCTCCCGTAGTCATCCAGGGTGAGGTCTGTGATCACCAGGGAAGCATCATTGTCACTGCCTCCTTTGAGAAACACTCTGCCCTGGTAACCTCCATAGGTTTTCTTGTGGTATCCCATGGAAACAAAAACATCCACTTCCTTGAGGTAATCTGAAGTTAGCTTGGTCCACTTAATCCTGATTTTGTGGATTCCTGAGCCAAATGCTGTAGGGTCTCGATAAAATTTACATGGCAGTGTAACATTGCCACCTCTGTGTGAGAACACCTTGGCTTGTTCTGCTTCCACAAGTAGACGAGGGCCGTTTTCTGCTATAATAAGAAAAGAAAAAAAGAAAGTAACCATTCATATGCTTTTGAACTTTTTTGTATAATGAAATATGCTACATATTCAGTGTATCTGATAAAGAATAGCTCTGGGTGATTAGTTTCTCTATGTAATCTCTTTTAAACCTCATGGAAAATTACCTCTAGTACCTAGAAGGCATTTTTAAGGTAATCGTGTTTTAAACTACTGAAAAAGGGAAGGATGAGCATTATAATCATTAAGAAATATTGGATACGACTCCATAGTTCTAAGTTTGATGATTTCATAATAAATCCTATTTTTTTTTCTTGTTCCATTTTTCTTCTACATTTAAATATCAAAAATGTAGAAACAAGGCTAAGAGAAGTGACCAAGTTTCATGACTATTTCATCAATATAAACTAAAAAATATCCAAGGAAAGGTAAGCCCAGTTGGGCTTTCTAATACAGGAAGTCTGTATTGTATTTACAGAAAAAGCATAAAGAGACATTTATTTTCATTATACTGTTCTGGCCAAAAACCTCAGAATATCCTTACCTTTATGGCTTCTATTCAAATGTACACCTGTGATATGTTATTCTGGAGCATTTCAAACAACATGTATATATTTCATTTTCACACAAAGGCTAGACATCAGAAAGTAGTTTTAGTGAATGCTTTTGAAAAACTCCAGATTTTGAAATATAGTCCTCAAAATTCAAATGTAAAAAGTATATCCAAAATTATACTTATTTTCTGATTAACTGACTAATTATTTGCTTTATTCCCTTAAATATCCTCTACTCCCTCTCCCTCTGTCTTGCTTTACAGTTATCTTATCACTTCCACCTTTCCCTTTTTTGCCCTTTTGTTTTCCTCCTGCGTTCTCCAAGGACTTTATCGCCTTTCAAAGAGCACCACAATATTCCAAGTCTGCCAGGTCAGCAGGGCTGCCGTTTTCTAGAGAGCCAGCTGTTATTTTCAGATCTTGGCTTTCTCTAGGGTTTCCCCTGGTTAGCACATTGTGCTTTTGACCTTGACAAGATCTCTTGAGGATGTGCAAGGCTTGAAAATGAGAAAGCGTTATATGAGAACTCCTGGACACGTACACCTTCTTGTCCATACACAGCTGTCAAAAGCCGTCAAGGCTGCCTTTCATGCAGCTTGCGCCCTTCCTACCTTAGGCCGATAGGTATTGAATAATACCTGGCCAGGAATCATTTAACCTGTACAAATCACTAGGAAGAATAGCCACTCACCTGAGACAGATCTCAAAACTTATTTAATGGCATACATAAAATTCTGATTTCAACATAAAAAGTGTCCAAAAGGTAGACAGCATTTCTGTTTTTATAATATAACAATCAGGATTGGTTTTTTAAAATGGGCACATTATTTCATTCATAAATGAGCCCCAATCCTCAAAAAGTGAAAAGTTTAACAAAGCCATCAATGCCCCCTCTTTGAATAGATAATGAAATGAGAGAATGATGGTATCATTTAGTATTTAGTTAAAATGAATCACAAATACAGCTCATTAAGCACTTCTTTTATATTCCATCTTTGCCTTCTTATTTAGAACCATAGAATCTCAAGAGATGAAAGATAAAGCTATTCAATTCTATTCTACTCTACATATATGAGGGGTCTTCAAAAAGTTTATGGAAAGATTCATATTATCTTTAAATTCTGTTTTTCCACAAACTTTTTGAAGTACCCTTGTAATTTTTCCCTTAATGACTGCATCCAATTACTACCAAAACATTTCTAGTGTCTTCTTTCTGGGAGGAGGAAAAAGTGCTGTTGACTAAGTTTGCTCAGTAATGCCTAAGGGCTGTAGGGAGCATTTTCTACCCAGTGTCTTGGAGGGAGATACCTGGAAGCTGTGTTTTCCCAGGCTGGGACATGAGTTTACATGTGACACATAGCTACAAGAGGTCTCAGTTTGGTAATTCGTTCAAGTTGTTTAGTTTAAAGTCAAAACTAATGCCCAATGCACTGGGATAAAGGGGATTATAGTAGTTAGAAACAAGGGCCTTAATGTAATATAGACCCTGGTCTAACCTCACCTCCTCAATTTACGGGCTCTGTAGCCTTGGGCAGGTTTTGTAACCTCTAATACCTAAGTCACTTATATGTTGGATTAGGGATAGTAACACCTACTGTATATAGTTGACACATAAAGGACTTAGAAAAATGGCTGGTCAAATGTAAGTGTGCACTAACTGCTAACTGTAGATTTCTGTAAAATCTACAGAAATACTATAGAATTTACATAGTATTTCTCAAATATGATACTGCCCAATATTCTGCATATTTTGGCATGTATCAACCTTCCATAGTTTCACTTACTCATAATATTTTAAACCATGTGGACTGAAAACTAAATACATAAAATGCCACCTGTGTTATATGGGGGACTTGGAAATTGTTTGGTTTAGGGTAATCATAAATTGTTCCAGAATGAATACACAGTTGGAATGTTTTATAAGTTAAAGAGTTAAAGCGAAGATCAAAACTGTTGTATAAGAGTCTGAGACTTCTGATTTTTTCCCTGTGGTTAACTATAACTTGCCCAGTAGTATTTTAGGAGTACAGGGGTCTAATTTACTTTTTATTTTTTACTTCTACTCCAGCCATTATGAATAAAGGTGACATATGTGATATAATATTGAAAATTGAGCAGACACCCAAATCCACTTACCTCACACACAATAATTTTTCTATCAAGCCTACCAGAATGTATGAAATTCTATGATTTTTATTACATTTTGCAGGGGGTGAGGGAAGTGTGTGTTTAGGTAATAGATGCCAGAAATCCCTGGCTGAAATTCAGAGAACCCTAGGAAAGGTATGTGACATTTACTGACTAAGGGCTATTAATGTTCATTAACCTAAACCTCCAGCATGGCCTTGAGAATACCGTTTTTTGTTTCTTTGCTTGTTTTTAGAAGATCTACACCACAGATGATACAGCACTGGGCAAGCATTGATGGAGGGTGTGGCCTGTGCGAGCAGGTAAGATGAGCAGAGTAAGGAATGGGCAGGGACAGAGAGTCAGGAGCTCTGGGATCCATTGTAGGCTCTCCCATGGCTTAGCTGTTGGACTCTTGACAAGTCTACCTCATGACATCGAGCTTAAGATTCTCATCAGGCTCTTTATCACAAGTTGTCATCACAGGGATCAGCCAGGAAACACACTATGCTGGAGAGGGGGATGGGAAGGGACAGAGACAGCAGAAAAAAGGAATAAAGAGCGCTGATGACCAACTTTGCACAGTCTTGCCCAGGCTAAGTCATGCATCTGATCACTGGATTTAAAATCCCAGGTCATTGTGAAATTAATGCTTAGATCAAAACTGTTGATCAACAGGACAGTTGCACTGCAATTAAAATGCAAAAGATAAAAATAAACTTTCATAGGCAGGATGCATATTGCTTATTTTTCTTTTTTAAAAAATACGAAAGAATAAACAAAACTAGGCAGCATCCATGTATTCAGTTTCCCTTTTCCTTTCAATGTGAAAAGGTGCACATAGACTTCAGTATGCTGTTAAAGGCCTTGGTGATTGTGTCTTAAAGGAGGCTGTGCTTTCAAAATACATGGCTAATTGGGGACATTAAAGATGTCCAGTGGAGGATTGACTTTTTAAAAAGTGCAATTTGTAAGTACAAAAACTTCCTATTTCTATTAGTGAGGGCCAATGACAGTGATTTGAAAGATTTGATGCCCTTCCAAGACCGGAGTTGTCTCCAGGGGAAACAGCAGGTCCTGGTGAGAACACTGATGGGGACTTGCTGAACCACTAGGACCTTGTTATTATTTTACAAATTCTGCTGTGAAATCCAGAGGACATTATTTGGTTTCACCAAATAAAAGCAAAAGCGTGACCAAACAACTGACCTTTGTAGTTGCTGTGCAATTTAGATGAAGTCTTTTAAACAATAAGACAAAAACAATTGCAGAAAAACTAGAAATACAATACTGGGCCATTACCTATTGTTCTCAGTTCTGTTAAAAGTGTACGTTTTTTTGGCAATTCATACCCAAAGAAATCCAGATGACAGAAAAAAAAAGGATAAATTGCTATGGATCAAAGTCTGTCTTTTTAAAATGAATTGTGGATTGTTCAAGATAACCAGTCTTGTTGGTTACTTTTTCCCCTGATATATAGATGATGTAGGCTCCAGACTTTTGAATTTCTGAAACCAACTTAAAAAACAAAATAACAGGGAACCTAGTTAAGATGGCTAAACAAGGTGCTAAATGAGGACATTAAAAATACATCCCTCCAAGAAAAAAACCCCATCATCATTTAAATTTTATTTATTGTGTTAAACAAACAAACAAAATATATATATATAAATTTGCCATCTTAACCATGTTTAAGTGTACAATTTGGTGCCATTAATTATTTTTATTGTGTTGTGCAATCACCACCACTATCTTTTTCCCAAAACTTTATCACCCCAAACAGAAAGCTAACTCTGACATCCCAAACTGATAGGCATAGATTCAACTGTCAGCTCCATGATGAGTCATTTGAAAAAAATTGCACAAGGTTTTAAAAAATACTTTCTTATTTTTATGGCATTTCTTATCACTTTGGTAGGTTTGGATGTGTAAGACTAACACTCTGGAAGCAGTAAGTGTGACTGATATACACTAATGCTGCATAGAGCCTGTGCTTAGCTATGGCAGTAGACATGGACACTGAGGCTTCTTTGCACCACATTATAGCTTTAAAATGAAAACACTCTAATAAAAAAATATTTATACATATTAAAGACAATATTTAAGTAGAATACACAACTTAGACATTTTATCCCTCATTATATCTTACATGGTACATTTGAGTAGGATACATAATTTAGGAACAAATTAAGAAGTGCCTTACTCATTAACCTTTAACTGTTCATAGTTATTTCCTTCAGACTGGAATGAATCTCATTTTTTCCTAAAACTGCTCACCTGGAGTCAGAAGCACCCATCCTTTGGTCATGACTCTGATGTGTCAGTTTGCA